CACGCGACGAGGGTCTGGCGACGTTTTCGCGTGCGAGATCTCGGCGAGTACAGCGATCTGTATCTCAAGACCGACGTGCTTTTTCTGGCGGATATATTTGAAAATTTTCGGGACGCGTGTTTGGCGAGTTACGGGCTCGATCCCGAGCATTACTACACGTTGCCGAGGTACACGTGGAACGCCATGCTGAGGTACACCGGCGTGCGTTTCGAGCTGCTCACCGACATCGACATGGTGGTGTTCGTGGAACGCGGAATACGCGGCGGCCTCAGTCAATGTTCGCTCAGGTACGCGCGAGCCAACAACAGGAACGTACCGACGCACGACTCGTCCCAGCCCACTACGTATCTCATGTATTACGACGTGAACAATCTGTACGGCTGGGCTATGAGCGAATCGTTGCCCTACGCGAATTTCCAGTGGCTCGACGATCCTGAGAATTTCGACGCGACGACCGTGCCGACGGACAGCGACGTCGGTTACATTTTGGAGGTGGATCTCGAGTACCCGCGGGACCTGCACGACGCCCACGCGGATATGCCGTTGTGCCCGACGCGCGACAAACCATCCGGCAAGCGACAGGAAAAACTGCTTGCCACTCTCTACAACAAATCGCGCTACGTGACGCACTATCGAAACCTGCAGCAATGTCTGCGACTAGGTATGCGTGTAACGCGCGTTTGTCGCGTTCTGCAATTCGCCCAGTCGCCGTGGCTTCGCGTCTACATTGAGCTGAACACCGCGCTTAGGACGCGCGCGAGCAACGAGTTCGAACGGAATTTGTACAAACTGATGAACAACGCCGTCTTCGGCAAGACTATGGAGAACGTGCGCGATCACGTGGACGTGCGTCTCGTGACGCGATGGGACGGGAGATACGGCGCGGAGGCGTTGATCGCTAAGCCGAATTTTCACAGCAAGAGCGTCTTCTCGGAGAATCTGGTGGCGATCGAGCTGCGAAGGCTCGAGGTAAAATTCAACAAGCCTATCTACGTGGGTATGTCTATTCTCGAGATATCCAAGACGCGTCTCTACGAGTTTTACTACGATTACATGGTGCCGCTCTATCGCGACCGTTGTCGAATTGCCTACACGGATACGGACAGTCTGATCTATTCGCTGGAGTGCGAAGACGCGTACGAGCGTATGAAACGCGACGTGCACAGGTTCGACACGAGCGATAACGCGGAGAACAACGCGCACGGTATGCCGCGCGTCAACAAGAAGGTGCCAGGTTTGATGAAGGACGAGAACAACGGCGCGATCATGACGGAGTTCGTGGGCCTCAGAGCGAAGATGTACACCTACAAGGTACTCGGACGCGACGACACCAAGAGAATAAAGGGCGTCAAGAGAAACGTAGTCGCGAAGAGGATCACGTTCGAAGATTACCTGGAGTGCCTGCGGAACGCGCGCGAGCTGAAGACGCGCCAGTCGTGCATACGCTCGACGCTGCACGAGGTTAACACCGTGTCGGAGCAAAAACTAGCCCTCAGTCCGCACGACGACAAGCGATACGTGACGTCGAACGGCGAGGAGACGCTTCCGTGGGGACATTACAAAATACCGTTGTAAAAAAAAGGGGAAACAATATTGTACGCTTTAAAAATTGTTTTATCGTAAAAAATCAATAACACGTAAGAAACAAATCGACGAATGTGTAAACTTTTATTGACAATAAAGTAAGCGTTGTCTACGAATGTCTAAGTATTTCTTTTTTTTTTACAACACAGACACCTTATCTATCCACGAATTGTGCGAACTGTCCATTCCCAGCCACTTCACGAACGCTTGATTGCCGCGCTTGTGTAGGACTTTTTCCACGAGATAAACGTCGGGATTGGAGACGCGCAGCAACTCGTGTTTGTAGAATCCTCCGGCTATCGCTTCTCCGCGAACGTCTTTCAGCAGATACGTAACGGGATTGGTCCTTTGTACTTTGGCTATGCGAAAGATCTCGGTGGTCCAATTGGGAGTGTAGCTTTTTTCGAAGATCGTTTTGAATTTGCTCACGCGCACCGGATCGCCGACTCGAAATTTCGCCGGCGCGGCTATCTTCGCGCGACCGTACACCGTGCGCAGCAGTTTTTCGGCGACGGTGGGCGTCACGTCCGCCGGACGCATTCGGATCGTTCTGTGTCTGCGACGATTGTAATTCGACAAGAGGCGCGGCAGCGAGTCTATCCATCTGTACGATCCCTGGAGCGTGAAGAGCTTCCACATGTCGTTTTTCAGCGTGCGATTGAATCTCTCCACCACCGACGCTTTTATCACCGAATACGCGGAATAGTGATTCACCTCGCGCTCGTCGAGGATTTTGCGCACGTCGGCGTTGTAGAATTCCTTTCCTTTGTCCGTTTGCAGATTCTTGGG